TCAGTCCACTGCCAGAGGGCTCCAAGGCATGGGGGAAGGGTCCAGCAGAGAAAGCTGATCACGTGGTGGCCGCCAGGAAGCAGAGAGACAGGAAGGGAAGAGCCAGAGAGGGAGACGCACCTCCAGGTCACACCCCAGGGCCTCCTCTTCTAAGCAGGCCCCCCTCCTAATAGCACAGTTTGCTAGATCCTCATTAACGGATCCGCCCGTGGATGAGTACAGCACCCCCAAGATCCAGTCACCTTCTGAAAACCCCACTTCTGAATACATGAGGCTTTTGGGGGGCCACACTAGCGCTAACACAGCATAACCAGCACTGGAGGCCAGGCATGACCGTTAACTTTGAGTGTCTCCTTGATCAGGCCACAGGAGCCCCATGTCTTCGGCTGCATCTGCTGGACATCTCTGTGCTGTGTTTCTTGCAGGAGACCAGCATACAAGTTTATCCCAGACCAGGAGGGCCAACAAGAATGCAAGACAAAAAGACACAGAATTACTTTAGAAAGAGGGGCCAAGGGGCTGGGGGTTTAGCTCAGTGGCACAGTGCCTGCCTGGCAAGCACGAGGTTGTGAGTTCGATTCCCGGTACCAGAAAAAAAAAAAACCAAAAAACCAAAAACCAAAAACTAGAAAGAGGGGCCAGAAGGCACTTGCCTCTGGTGGACAGGGGGCCCTGAGCATCTGGTGCACCTGGCTTGTATTTACTTAGACATGGGAGCAAGCAATGAGGGTTGCAGAAGATTCACCTGCCTCCTGTTATCCAGCGTGCATGCCCAGGTAAACAACAGATCCCAGCTGTGTCAGCTCCTCCCCGGAACTCGCAAGGTGCCAGCACACCTGCAGAGCTCAGCTCGCTGCTCCCCTCCTTTGTGCTCGCAGAGACGGGCCCTAAATCCCAGCCTTAGAATCTATTCCTCTGCCCCATACTAGTGCGTCCTGAAGCAAGGAGACGGGCTACTTGGGTTGCTGGGTGTTTCCCCAGAGAGCCCGAGGGAGCACTGTGTCCCATGCGCCACCTCTGCATGCAGACGCTGCTGTTCTGTGCACCTCGGACATTCCTCGAGCTGCCTGAACAGAGGAAAGGGGCAGCTCTGTCGGACTGTTCATCCCTATCTCTCCAGGGTGAACCGGTCCCGAGAGCAGCGAGGTGCCCGTGGATGAATAAGAACAGGAAAAGAGAGGGACAAGCAAAACAAGAGAAACAAAATTCTGAGATCAGAGGGCGTATAGCCTCTCAGGCTGCTCCCCCCGGTACCAATTCTCATCACCTTTACTGAGCCAGAACCAAAGGCGTAGCCAGTACAAATGGGTGGATACCACACGTTTCAGCAAGGATAGTTAAAGGATTACCCTTCCCCACTTGAGATTCAAGACATGCCTATGATCCCAGCACTCAGGAGGCTGAGACAGGAGGATCGTAAACTCAAGGTGAACCCAGGCTGTATAATAAAGCCTTATCTGAAGAAACTCTATCTAACATATCATCGTGTCCTCAATGCATACTAATCAAAGAATGTCCTTCTCCACACAGCTCTAGGAGCAGGGCTCCCCAAGGGTCCCCGAGTCATCTCCCAAAGGTGTTGCTCGGCTGCAAGGCTGCTCGGAACCCTCGATGGCAGCCCCCACGGCTGAGTTCCTCCAGAGAAAGCTGGGGCCGACGCAGAGGTGGTGTTTCTCACCGCCCAGGTGCGAGTCAGCCCTGCACAGAGGCCAGTGGGAGCCTCCACAGGACCCTGCCTCAAAATAAAGTGAGCGGGGCATGCAGCTCGAGGTGAAGGCCGGGGTTAAGTCACCAGTGTTGCAGAACGGTTGGATGGTGTGGTAAAGGGTCCTTCTCCACGACAGTGGAAGCTGGGGCCAGAAACAAGCAGTCTGGAGCGTTCCCTCTGCCTCGACTCCCTGTACCTGCAGGAGCCCTCCCGCCCAAGCCTGGGCTGGCGGATGCCACCTGCTCCCCGCTCTTCGCTGGGCGTGGCTGCGGGACCCTGATGCAGGGAGGAGCCCCGAGTCCTCGGGGTTTCCCTTGGGGAGAGCCGGACCTGCAACCGCTGTGCCCCAGAGCAGTGACGGTCGTGACTGCAGGGAGGCCAGGGTGAGCACTGGGGCGCGCTCTCAGGTCATGGCGCAGCGCCCGTGAAGGGCCCCTGCTTGGCGGGGCGGAGGGTGGGGCGGGGGCTGAAGGGCGGTTGGTCCGAGTGAGATGCACGGTCAGCGGGCGGAACACACTAGATCTTCTTTTTGGAGACAGGGTCTTGCTATGTAGCTCAGGTCGGCCTTGACCTCACTGTGTGAGGTCGAATTCATGGGGGTCCCTCTGCCTCAGCCTCCCGAATCCTGGGATGACAGATTTTCATCTCAAGAGACTGCAGCGGGCCTGCAGCCTGGTGGCCAGGAGTCCAGGAAGCGCAGCTACATCAGGTTAGGGGACAGTGGCTGGGTTAGATCAGACAGGTGCTGATAGCGCAGACAGAGAAAGCTATGAGGTGGAGTCACTGATACAGACAGCTCTCATCCCGGTGAGAGCAAAGGCTGACCTGTATACAACTCTCATTTTTTTTTTTTTTGTTTTTTTTTTTTGGTCTTTTTGAGACAGGGTCTCGCTATGCAGTTCAGGATGGACTTGAGCTCACTTTATAGGCCAGGCTGGTCTCGAATTCACAGTGATTCTCCTGCCTCAGCCTTCTGATTGCTGGGTTTACAGGTGTGCGCCACCACGCCCAGCCTTTTTTTTTTTTTTGGTACTGGGAATCAAACTCATGACCTCAGGCTTGCCAGGCAAGCGCTTATGCCGATGAGCTACATCCCTGGCCCATACACCTCTTGTCTTTGTCAGTCAAAAATGAAAACTGGAAGAGCTCACAAGGACCAAGTGCTTATTGTAACTCGAGGAACACAGAGCCAAGAGTCCCTACCAACTAAGAAATTTAATCCTAAGGGAATGGAAGCTAGGCATGGTGGTGCTTACATGTAAGGACTCAGGAAGCTAAGGCAGGACGAGCACAGTGAGTTCAAGGCCAGCATGAGCTATTTAGTGAGTTCAAGGCCAGCCTGTACTGCATAGGGAGACCTTGAGACCTTGTCTCAAAACAACAAAAGTAAATGGACAAGCAGCAACACTTTCTTGGAGGGTTCCAATGAATAAATAATGAAGGAATTAGCAAGTCACAAAAATAATTGCCCCAGGGCAGATCCACAGAAGGGGGAGTCTAAAGCATAAGCAGGGTATTTGCATAGTCTTCAAGTCTCTCCATCCCAGTATTTAATACTCTAAAGAAAACAGCTCACAGTGGAAAATCCCAGCCGTGTGGTACCCACCTGGGGGGCGGCTAGCTTCACGGGACTCGGTCAGCGCCAGGGCCTGTGCGGAGGGCATCGGGACCTGGCGGCTCTCCCGTGCTGAGACACGGGTCAGGCTGGCCAAAGGGCATCTGCGGGGGTGTGTGGGGGCATCTGCAGCGGCACAGGCAAGTGCTCTCCCCAAGACAGGACGCAGGACCCTCTGAGAACCTGAGCTGATGGACTGGGTAACAGAAGACACGGAAACTGGTGCAATTCGGGTTGTTCTGCTCTCGCTGACAGTACTGTATCACGGTTCGCTTCTCAGGGTGGGGCCCACAGCTGCGTAAGTTAATGTAGCAGCGGAGTGGCCGTGAGTGGCAGTGCACACCTGCAATCCCAGCACTCGGGAGGCTGAAATAGGAGTTCAAGCCCAGCCTGGGCTACACAGAGAGACCATGTCTCAAAAATACTGGAAAAAATAAAAATAAAAAGCTGGAATGAAGGATATGTAGGAATTTTTTTTTTTGTCTTTTTGAGACGGTCTCACTGTGCAGTTCAGGCTGGTCTTGAGCTCACTTTTTAGCCCAGGCTGGTCTCGAACTCACAATGATCCTCCTGCCTCAGCCTCCCAAGTGCTAGGATTACAGGCGTGCACCCACACCCAGTGGCACTTTTTGGAACTTTCTCGAAGTCTCAATTATCTCAAAAGAATTCACTGTTGGCAGCTGAATACCAGCAATTTCATCTTACCTCAGACAGGAAACAGTTACGGAGCTGAGGGGCCGGGCCCCATCCTAAGATGCCACAGATCGACTTGTGCATCTGCCTCAGGGCCATCACCGACATTCAACTCCCACAGGCTCCGATGCCGCCCCGACAAGAAAGAACCTGGCTGGCCACACCCTCCGCGGCCAGCGTCATTATGACCCGGCTATGGGGACGGTAAAAGGTGCTCCACCTGGGCACTGCTAAGGACTTGGGGGTGTGAAGGTGGCCTGGGTTCCCGACAGCTGTCACACAGAGGTGGGACTCGGTGCACAGGGGGCCCGGACACTGGTGCCAGAGGGCCTGTGGGCACCTGTCTGCTCCTAACCTTGGTGTCAGTCCACAAGCCAGACTCTGGAGCAGTGGTCAGGGTGGGGACCATCTGGGGTGTTCGCAAGCCACGGGGGGTTTCACTCATTTATTTTTGTTTTCTTGAGACACATCTCACTATTCAGTTCAGGCCAGCCTTGGAGTTACTATGTACCCCAGGCTGGTCTCTTAACTTCTGGTGATCCTCCTGCCTCAGCCTCTGGCAGGGATTATGTGCACGACCAAGCCAGGCTCCCAGCTCTGCCTACAGGAGGTGGAGCTGCCTGCTGTGTCTCCTTACTGAGCTGATTCAGCTTGTAGCATGAATTCACTCCCAGGAATGGGCCGCCTACCTCACATGTCCCACTGCAGCAGGTGATGTCACTTAAATCAGTGTAGCACCCCTTTACCACTGAGGAAGCTTTTGCCAAGAGCCAGAGCCCTATTTCAACCGCGAGTCATCAAAATGTACACAAGAACATTTAAATACTAATGTGTTGCTTTTGCACCAGGCGCGGTGGTACACGCCTGTAATCCTAGCTCTCAAGAGGCTGAGGCAGGACTGCATTGTGTTCAAGATCAGCCTGGGTTACATTGTGAGACCCTTTCTCAAAAAACCAAAGAGAAAAAAAAAGGCAGCAAGCCCACTGCCTATAGCAAAGAAAATTCTTTATTGTAAACAACAAGTACAACAAAAGAAATATTGTGCAAACTGTCATGAGGATTGTTTTTTAATTAACAGAAAATTCTTCCAAGGGTCCAAGTTTTAATGTCAGAAACCTATACTCAAAAATATAGACAACATTTTAAATGTGCAGATAGTGACACTTTTCACGGTATATTTCAAACAATTGACTTTTCTCCCCCCCCCCCATGTAGATCACCCACTATACCACAAAATATAACAGAAATACTGCAAACAAAATCGAATGTTCTACAAATGCTCTAACTCGCTCCTTTGGCCTCCTGAGAAACTCCTACGCATTAGCGTCAGCAGAGCCTTTGTCTGCCCGGGGTACTTAATGCTCACTACGTTTCTAATTCGGTGACACTCCTCACATCCGTCTCTGCTCTTGACGAACGCTCCATCTTCAAGGAGTCACCTGAAATTCTTGACACCCCTTCTTTACAATATGCAATTATCTTCAGATTTTTTTTTTCCTAAACAAAGTGCAATGTATCTGAGAGTCTACAGAAAACACACTGGGATACAATTTTCAGGTCTACGCAAGAACTGCAGGCAAACTAAAGTTGAAAGCAGAATAAAATGCCTAAATAGAGTCATCTGTTAAACGTTCAAAACAATAATGCAACGGAACTGTGGCTCCACTTCAAAGCAATTCAGTGCCCGAGGCTCCTGGTGCTCCGGGCCTCTTCCACCTCGAGGAGCCGCGTGACGCCGCCCTGCGTGGTCAGCACCTGGACCCCTGCACGGGGCGCAGCAATGGCTGGGCGGCGAACGAGATCACAAACCCTGGCGGTGTGCGAGCGCCGACGCGGCTGACCCGAGCTCGTCTCTGTACCGCAGCACGGACCTCGGCCTGCTCTGGAACCGGCTCAGAAGGAGCACGTTGAAACGCCAGTTTTGGGTGTCAAGGCCACGGGGAAGTGACAAATTCACTTGTTGATTCTAAGCTGCACCGTCCTCCCCTGGAGACCCCGACGACTGCTCAAAGGAGCAAGAGCCTTCCGGTCTTCGTGTGACAGCAGTGACAACTGCAGTGGGACCTGCAGGCGGCCTCAGCCCTTCCTGCCGCTGCCCAGGCTGGGCCCCTGCTCCCAGCCCCCACGGGGGCCACTCAGAGCGGAAGCCCTGGCGCCCCTCTGGCTCTGCCTGTGACAAAGTGAGTTGTGACTCCACGGTGCCGAGGGTCACTGTGCGGGCGCGGGCGCCGGGGGCAGGGTGGTGTCGCTGAGCTTGCTCACCTCCATCTGCCAGTTCGGGAGCTTCTTGGCGGACAGGTGGCGCCGGGCGTGCTTGGTCAGGTGGTCGCTGCGCATGAAGCGCCGCTCGCACATGGGGCAGGCGAACTTCTTCTCGCCGGTGTGCGTGCGCCGGTGCCGGGACAGCTCGTCGGAGCGCGCGAACCTGCGCTCACAGCCCTTCCAGCTGCAGCTGAACGGCTTCTCTCCTGCAAGAGGGGCGAGCGTCACTCTGCAACCACGGCGGGGACCGAGGGGTCGCCGGTGCCTCTGCGAACCTTCACGCCGCCACGCCCACCAAACTTCCCCTCTGAGCCCAGCCCAAGAAGCTCTGCTGACCGCAACTCTACCTTAGCAGCTTCAGGAACCCTGCACTAATCACTCCACTGTACAGAAGCACTTTTTCCTTTTTTTTTGTCTTTTTGAGACAGGGTCTCTCTATGCAGTTCAGGCTGGCCCTGAGCTCACTTTGTAGCTCAGGCTGGTCTCGAACTCACCATGATCCTCCCGCCTCAACCTCCCACCTACCGGGATTACAGGCGTGCGCCACCATGCCCAGCCAGTATTGCCCTTTTGACATCACAAGCAAAGCGCCCAGAAAGCCTGCGGCGGCCTTTGTGCCAGTCAGTCTCCTCCCTTGCGCCAGTGGACAATGCACTCTTTGCTAACTCGCTGCTTTGTGAATATGCTCACAAGTAAAACCTTTACGTTTTGGTAGTACTGGGGACTGAACGCAGAGCCTTCACACTGAACTACATCCCTGACCCATTTCTTAAAATTCTGAGACAAGGGTCTTACTAAGTCACTAAGTTGCCCAGCTGGGCTCCAGCCTGTCATCCTCCTGCCTCAGCCTCCCAGAGTGCTGGGATGACAGGCTTCCGTGCGTGCTAACCACACCCCCTGCGTATCATTTATCCTAATGACACGGACAGCAGACCGTACCTGTGTGTGTCCTCATGTGGGCCTTCAGATGGGAGCTTTTGAAGTAGGTCTTGCCGCAGCCCGGGTGGCTGCAGATGTGGCTCCGGATCCGGGAGGAGTCCACCTGCGGCGTGGCCTTGGCCGCAGAGGGGGTGAGCCCGGGCGCGGGGGCGATGGGGGACAGTCTGGTGCCATGTGGGCTCAGGGCCGGCTTCGGGTTCTGCACCACTGGCTGGGGCACCACGAACATGACGGCACCCTTGGGCACCTGGGCACCCATGAACAGCACCGGCGGGCAGACGGCAGGCGGCTGGCTGGGTGGGGCGCTGGGGACGACAGTGGTCACGACAGGGCTGTGCGCAGGCAGGGGGACCATCTGGCAGATGACGGGCAGCGGCGGGGATCCCCCCAGGCTGGGCACCGCGGGCGGCGAGGCCACTGCCGGGCGCTGTGGGGAGGAGGGGCCGGGCCAGCCCCTGGGGAGGACAGCGTCCAAGGAAGGCACGGGGGAGTCGTGGTGGGCCGTGCCCGCCTGGTCACTGGCAACTGCCAGCACATCCCGCTCACGCTTGGCCCTGCTGGGCGACACTGCTGCGCAGGGCACGTGCTTCCTCGCGACCTCGACATTCGAGGGGGGCCTTCGCTGGAAAGAGCCGTCCGGGCAGCTGAGGGCGCCAGCGGCCTTCACAGGGCAGGCTCGGTGGCTGCAGGGCTGGGCATCGGCTGTGTGCCGGATCACACTCGTGGCCTGAGCCTTGGGAAGTCTGGGGGCGGGCCGGGGGCTCTTCTCCTCTGTGAAAGGTGCTGCGGTGTGGGGCTTCGCAGGGTCTGACAGTGACTTGAAATGTCCAGCAGATGGTGCTGGTGCCATCAGACTTGACACTTGAGACGGTTCAAAATCCGAGGGGCTGTAGGGCGGAGTCAGACACTGAAGAGAAAAGACACACAGCAACAGCGTGAGAAACCTGGAGCTCAGGATGCAAAGCAGGGGGGATTCCATGACCCACACCTGAGAACAGCAGTACTCACAAACGTGGGGATCGCGTGGAAGTCGGGCGTCCCGGGCAGCAGGCCCTCCTCCTCCGACGTGTCTGACGCTGGCGTGACGGGTCTGTTTTCCAGGTATTTCTTAAAGTCGGACTTCCAGCTGCAGCTCATGGTCATGAGCGCCTCCACGGCCTCGTAATCACTCTTCTCCGCAGTTCTGTTCCAGGAGTACACACTCTCTTTGCACTTCTCTGAAACCACATCCATTCTTTCTTCCTGTTAGAACAAAAACTGAAAACTTAGAAGCATATTTCTTATCATCCGCCTGGTAATATAGCTCAGCAACGTAAGTACCTGCCTCGCAAGCATAAGGTCCTGAGTTCAATTTCTGGTACACAAACAAACAAACGAACCAAAAAAACCTATGTTTTCTTATCATCCAAAGTCAAAAACCTAGAAACTCTGGCTCTACCTGCAGGAGCAGCCAGGCTTCACGATAAGGGCAGTGAAATCTCCCTCATCCTTCCTCATCCTTCCTTTCTCATCCAGCGCGCTTGAGCACTGGAGCCCTGACAAGGTGGAGAAGCCCTGGAGAAGCCAGTGAGAGGCCAAGCCCTGGGCTGGGGAGGAAGACCTCCTCCCACGGTCTTCCTGCAGTAGCCAACAGAGCACAAGAGATAAGGCTTTCTTCCTGGGTGGGGTGGTGACCGCCTGCAATCCCAGATGCTCAGGAGGCTGAAGCAGGAGGATCACAGGTTTGGGGGCCAGCATGGACAATTTAGTCAGATCTTGCCACAAAAATAAAATAACCTAGAGGGGCCTGGGGTGACAGAGCATTGTCTAGCAAACTCGAGGCCCTGGGTTCAATACTCTCTCTCTCTCTCTCTCTCTCTCTCTCTCTCACACACACACACACACACACACACACAGCTTTTCCTCACTGCTAGGGCAGACCATGTAAGGCAGGCTACAAAGGGTGGGCTGTGCAAGGCAGTTCAAATCCTGATCTTCTAGCAGAAAGGGGTGGGAGCCCACACAATCTTGTAAGGATAGGGGACAGAGCTCTGGACTCAACACAGTTGTGACCTTTGGCCACTCCTTTGGGATAAAAGCCAATAGGTAATCAGGGTCCTCAGGGTCTCCTTCAAGTTAAGTCAGATTACTGGAAGTTTAAAGTTCCTGATAACTTAGTTATCTACGGCAATGAGAAGTCAAGCGAAACATGTGGTGAGCCGGATGTGGTGGCACACGCCTGTAATCCCAGCACTCAGGAGGCTGAGGCAGGAGGATCGTTCCAAGTTGGAGACCAGCTGGGCTACAAAGTGAGCTCAAGGCCAGCCTGAAATGCATAGCAAGACCCTGTCTCAAAACAAAACAGAAATACGTGGGGAATATGCTAACCCTGTCTTTACATCAAGCTTCACTCCCTAGCCTTTCACTAACCCTGTTTATGACTAACGTGAGGGTTTGCTATGCTAAGAATGGCTAGCAAGCACGACAGTAAAAACCAGATAACCAGAAAAATGTTTGACTTGGAATTTGGAAAGGCCTGAACTGGACAGTCTGCAGTCGACAACAGAACCTGTTTCAAGTTCTGCTTGATGGCAGAAACAACCATTCATACCCTACACTTAGTTTCTTAAACTGCATTTAAAACAAAACAAAACAAAACAAAACCCAGATTCCCTTGGTTAACCAGAGACTTATGTAAAAATACTTTAAAAAATCATTACATTGCAAGATATTCTCAACACTCCGTTTTAAAAAAATGCCCGTTCCCTGCGTGCGGAGAGCCCAGCTCTGGGAACAACCGCTAACAATGCAATTGCATAACCAAGCGCTTTACGTAAGCTGCCGGGCAGCACGCGGGGCGGGTGCCGCCGGCGCGGAGCGAGGCAGACGACG